CGATATTCACTTTCCAATCGAACAAGTTACTGAAGATGAAAATCGAAGCATTATTTTGACTACTTATCTTGCACACTCACAAAAAAAAAAAAAACACATCATTGTAAAATCAATACATTCATCGTTCCACTCAGAATCTAAAAATTATAATTTAAAATTGAAATCAAACAGACCAAAAGTCAAATATAAATTTTTTACCATGTTAATTTTTAAGTTTTTAATTTAATAAATATAAATTTATAATTTAAGACTTTTTAATTGTGTTGTTTAAGCTAGATTGTAAGTTTTATAAAATAAAAGAAATAGGTAATATTTAATTTATATATGGTGCAAAATTAACATATATCGGTTGTTTTCATAGCACATTTTTATAAATATTATATAATTAATATTTTTTACATTTGTGAATTATGATCATTCATATTTCATAGGAACAAATACAAGTACAGGCGTATAGTTAATAGTTGTGATTCTATTAGCTTTAAAAACTAACTCTAAATATATAAATATATGCATCATAGAGTATAAAAAAATACATCAAAATAAATGCAAGGGAATGAGGTAATATACATTGTAATATATTATTACCTGATTAACAGCGGGAACAATATTAGTTGGATCGGCGAGCATTTCTTTTATATGTTTTACGGTATAATTAGATACCCCAATATTCTTAAGTGAACCATTGCCATTGTCATGCAACTTCATAAGAGTCTTCCAAGTTAAGTTACGAAGCTTAGAATTTTCAGGACTCTTTGCATCAATACGCCCAGCTCCTGGCCAGTGTATTAAATATAAATCCAAGTAACTGGTACCTAGATTATCCAATGACCTTTGCACAGCAGCTGTTACTTGCTTCTCATCTCCATGGTCTTTGGGAGCTATGAATTTTTTTATTAATTATAAGATTAATAATAATAGAATACTGTTATAATTTCAAATATAAATAATGAAAAACTTAATATACTACTCAAATTATTAATATGGATAAATGTTATTCTATAAAAGCAATTATAAGACTTATAGGTAAATTATCTTTTCAATTTGCAGTTTAAACAATGCATAGTCAGTTAATGTGCATATATTATTAATTTCACTTTAACAGTGAATGTATTGTGGGTCGATATTAGTTTATTATATATTATATTTTGTAAAGATGATTGTCTTTAAGAGGATGTCGTACCCGCATATCTTGTCTCCATCTTATACACATACGCCATAACAGATTTTCATTCACCAGTTTCAATAGTGTGCTGTAAGTTTTGATATTAGAGTGAATTGACCGATTATTAGATATTAAGGCAGGAGCGTAGCTAGAGTTTTTTATTTTTTTGGTAGGCCTACTAGACGACTTCTACTCGCCAACAGAAATTGGGGCTTTTGCTTTCCTCAATTTTTCTAGAAAAAATCTGGGTAGGCTTGGGCCCACCTACTGGCTACGCCACTGCGTTAAAGTAAGAACATTATCTCTTGTTGGTTTAGGTGTGTAGGATTTTATTTGGTAGGATTTTTACATTTTAAAGTGAATTATGAATATTTTCAAATATAAATATTTTACATATACATAATTCACTTAAAAATTAAAATATTGTAATAAACCAAAAAAAGAACACAGATAATTTTCTTATCTAAAAGTTTGATAAAAGGTCAATTCGCTCTAATATCAAAACTAACAGCATACTATCGAAACTGGAGAATAAAAATTTGCTATGTCGTTCGTGTACAGTAGCGTGACAAAATAAAAAATTTCCAGAGGCAAGTTACAAATATCCCAAGTATTAATGCATGAAAATGTACTAATATGGGATATCTAATTATATTTCAAATCGTTATTGACTACCTATTGAGTATATCATATTACATTTACTAGGGGACCCACCCCTCTATTTAAGAAAAATCTCAGAGGCAATTGCTTCACCTTGCCACTGTATGTGTGTAAGACGGAGACAACACAGGTGGGTATAACATCCTCTTAAAAAAAACAAAAATGGTCAAATTAATGTAAGTTTTAGTATACATTTTGTAGAAAAAAAACTGGCTGAGTTTCTACATTCAAATTAATTTAAATAGTTTGTTTAGTGTAAGGATAATAAAAGACTAGTTGGTAAAATAAATGGCCATTCAAATATTAGAACATAAAAAATATGAAAAATGTAGTAAATGACACATTTAATTATTGTACCTGAGTACCTCTATAAATAAAGATTTTTCAATTTCTTTTAGATTCTGAGCAAAGCAATGAATGTATACATTTTTGTGTCTGGAGACACATAACATAGCAGAAAAAATGTTTCAATTCAAAAATTTTTACTTGTAGTGACAAAAGGGACTTTTAGCTTTTTGTACGACATTTTAGATTTTAAGCGAAGCAACGAATGTATTGGTTTTACAATGATGTATGTTTTTTTATTATGAAGTTCTCCCCTTTTAAAAAGGCTTAGTATTAAGGGATCAAGTCAAAAGTCCACTTTAAGAGAAAACTGAGAAACAAATGTTAGGAAAACTTGGTATAGCTGTTTGTACTTTGTGTAAAGGTACACTAGTATTGAATTCAGATACATAATATTTATTATTTTTATTTTAACAGAATAATTTAATCTACATTTAAATTTTAGATTCTCAGAGGAGTAATAAATGTATGGATTTTACAATGATGTGTGTTTTTTGACAGACTACATGCAGACACAGTAAGGTAGCTCAGAATAGTTTTTTTCAAATGGAATGATTAAAGAGATTAAATTATATTATATATGCTTTGGCTTTAAAAATTTCTACAACCAGACATTGCGACATTGCAAATATGTATACCTAATTTTGATGTAATAAACAAATCTTCACGCTTCAGATGATACTTTGGTAATAACACTTTAAGTGCTTCTTTGATATATTGCTCATTGTTATACACTGCTGCTGTATCTGAAAAACAATATTATATACTAAAATACTGAGTAAAAAAGATTGATAAATAAATAGCTAATAGTAATGACCACAAACACTAAATATAATATGATTTTAAGAATTATTTAAATTTATAATCAAATAGAGAAAAGTAAAAACAAATAATTAAATTAACATAACATAAACCAATAATAAGACAAATGATTATTCATAAAGATAATTATTCAAAGTTTAAGTGCTATTACCTATGTACCTATTAATATGACTAAGGTGTTAGGTGAGTATGAGTATTGATATTATTTTATAAAACTAAATCATTTGTTCATTATTAATAAATTATATCAATAAACAAATAAATTTAGTGTTTCTGTAATTTTGTAAATAAATATTCACATAAGCTTATATGTACCTATGTAAATTATATACTTGAATCAATATGCAATCAATTTACCAATTAGACGATAGCCAGCGCCAAGTGCCACATCCAAGACATTCAATATTATTTTTTCATCGCTAATTGTGTATGTACCAACTAAAATCATAAAAAATTATACAAAAATAGTTATGATCAAGATTCGTCATTCGAAACATAAGAACAATATTTATTTTATGACTTACATCCGATTACAGGCATTTGGTTATTTCCTCCTTGTGTGTTTAATGGTAAAAATGTTTTAGAAATAGAAACCATTATAATAAATGTGTTGTACAGTTATACACTTTCCTATATTTGATTTAAAATTTACAATACAAAATGTATTTACAAAAGGCCTTAAGATGTAAATGGCTACCGCCTACCATACCATGACAATATTATATTGAATATTCAAATTATATTGCGATTTGTGGTATAAGTATAATCACAGAATATTATAATAATATAATATGAAATCACAATGGTCAGTCGTGGTCACATGAATTACATTATTCTTATGGAAAGCTGATAAGAAGTTCCACCATAATAATCACGGTCTTCTAAGACCATGATAATAATATTATTGAATGCATACATCAGTGTTGCCCTAAAAAGAAATCTTAAATTGACCTCTTACAATTAAATTAAGATTTTGTCCAACCATGTCCAACTATTATACCTTAAAAAAGCTGTTCAATTCATCAAAATACTGTTCGATGATTCAAATTTTAAGATAATATTTGTATTTATTTTTAACATATTATTTAATATTACTTTTTATATTGTAAATACCATATTTGGTTAACTTTATTGAGATTTGGACACGATTTAAGATAGTATCTGGATGTGGATTTGGATTAACTCTTATAATATAATATATCCAACGACCAACAAGATAATAAGATACCCCAAAGTACTAACCACAGAGTTAGTAATACTACCAACTAGATTCACTTTCCTATCAGAAAAGATACTGTTGAAGAAAAATATCTAAGCATTCTAAGCATTTTTACTGTCCTAAAAGGAGATGACAGACACAAAAAGTTTTTTCAATAACTGTAAGTACTTACTTGAAATTTTCTTTAAGATTTTATTCGTTGGGTGGGTCAAAATTCTTGAAAATTTAATACAAGGCTCCTGACACATTGTTACAATAACAGATTAAAAGTATTAAAAATACATAATCAAGGTTTTTTATGAGGATTTAAAGTTCAAATATCAACACAATTTACAAGATATTTTGCAGTGAAATATATAAATACAGTTGTTTTTTTAGTTATTTGATGTTCAAGTGTGAACAGAATTATATATTTAAAAGAAAAAGGACGATGATTTTAGTTGTGTGTTATAATTTAAAAACACGGTTCGTTTATTATAAACAAATAATATTAATTAAAAAATTTTTTATTTAAAAAACATGAACGAGTAGAATATCAGGATTTCGAAAGCAATTTGAAAACAACAAGAAATAAATTGAAAGAAGAAAAACAGAAATTATTGGATAATTATAAAAGTTTACTAAAAAAAATTTGGTAAATGTTAAATAATTTTTGTGTGAGACGAAATTTGGTAGACAATCAGTGTGAAATCTCTGTATTGTGTTACGCGGTAAATCGAAGTGCTTCAAGCGGACATTCCCCCCTTGAACTATTTGTTTTACCGTGGAAAAGCTGGCTGTGAACATACAAATATATACTGCTTATATGTATTTATGAAATTGTCAATATTTTTAAAAAAAGAATTAAAAATGAATTTTATATAATAATTATAAAATTTGATTGCGCAATTTTTATTTGTATTTATAACCACTCAGCTCATTAAAAAAAGTATAGTTATGGCTATGTTAGTCACGCTATGCTAACTAGTGATAAATTGGCCCATGCCCCATACTGAAAACAATTTGTTTATACGCCACTGCCTACTACCTATATAATAGAATAGTAGTGTACCTATAGCACCAAAACTGACGCTCATATAGGTATACCTCTTATAATGCATTGAGTAAAATCAGCTTTTCATTTGAACTTTTAACTCTCTCTCATAGTCTCATAAGTTGCATCATTAATATTATAAATAAATAATTAGCAATGACAAAAATGTTATACTTAAAACATTATTTTATTTTATTTTAGCAAAATTCAATTTAAATATTATGATATTTGAAAAATATAACATTCCTATTTAATATTTATACCAAAAAAGTTAAAAATTTTAAAACTTAAACATATTATTTTTCTTAGAGGTTGCTTAGAAAAGATATGCCATTATGTAAAAATATTTTCAAAAAACTATAATTTTCGAAATTTTTTGTGTAGACACTATATATTTTAATGAATAAGCTAGATAATAATAATATTTTCCTACACCCTTAATTGCGCTTTTAGTGATATGCAATTCTGTAAGACAAAAGTTTGAAATAGGGGGCCCCAAAATATGACTTGCACCCGGGCCCGTTTGTCTCTAGTTGCGGCACAGGGCCAAGGCCACGCGGGATAGCTAAAAATTAAAATATAATATGATTTTGCTTCCATACCTATACAGAGCGAATTGCACCAAAAAGGAGTTAATTAATCACAATTTTTTCCCGTGCAACGCCTGGTTATTTAGCTAGTAATTACATAATTGAAAAACCAATGAACATAAAATGGTTCATATAATTAATAATTTATTGTATCTGTATGAATACAAAACAAAATACAAATACATAGTTATTAGTTATAATACAAAGTGCAAAATAGTAATAATACAAAACAAATTCATATATATTATTTATATAAATATGAGGTCTCCTCCCAGATAACCACGCTCTTCTATCGAAATGTGATAATAATAGTTCTATAGAAAAATTCATAATACAGTGAAACAATATCATACTAGAACAACCATGGAGGAATACAGAGCTCACAAGTCACAATGGTGAAAATGGTTCATCTATGTGAAAACGGGCAGAGTTTCTTCGTCCGCTTGTTCAGCTGAAGTTGGAGTTAGCGAGTGAACAATCGGACGAAAAAACGCTTTGTCCGTTTCCACATAGACGGGCGATTGCGTTTATTGGCTAATTCGGGGGCCAATTCCTCCATTGCTGTTATAGGATGATGTTGTCGAAGTGTATTTTGAATTATTTCTGCTTCACTCAAGACCGTCTCAGTTTGCGTCGCTTTATCACGACAGATACTGGCCTTCACCAATACGACATCAACGCGACATGCCGACGATATGTTTGGCATTGATCTCCATTGTCTCCTAATCTTCAGCCCGGTGAAATCACCGTGACATTCCAACTTCACAAAGTTTGCCGACCAGTTTCTCAAGTCGGTGAAAACTTTATGCATTAAGAGTTGCTCTGCGGACGGCGAGCAAATTTCGGCTTCCGACATATTACTCTTTACTACAGCAATATTTGACATGTCTTATAAAGTTTATAATACAATAAATTCTTTATTAGAATATTCTTCGTTATTTAACAGTTATACATACAATATTAAATTCTTACACTGAAACTTTTATGATATAAATAATTATGGTTCAAACACTATGTTATTCTGCCATAACAACGTATTATCCAGTTAGGAATAACTAGACAAAAAGAAAAAAAGTGGTTATATATATCAAATTTCATCAAAATTTCAAAGACTTATAAAATGATAATATGACTTTTACTAAACTTCTTTTTATAGTTTATTGGTAATGAATATTATGAAAATATTAAAATAATAGAAAATATAGAAAATTAATTGCCCACATATATTTCAATATTTGATCAAGTCAATCCGCAACAATACTAACATAATAATATGTTATTTAAACGTAATTTTAAAATTAATGTCAATACTTGTTACTAAATATAATATCTTATTTGTTTCTATAATATGACTTATACATTATACCTATGTTATGACTCCAAAAAGTAATCTATGATTAAGTACCTACTAGTTACACGAATTCGAACATTTCTTTACGTTCAGGTTATTTTCATCAAATATTTCGATACTTTCAAGTTTCAATTTGGAGAGAAATGAAGATTGATAAAGATCGCTGTTTTTTCGCCAGTGTATACTGCACGTCTGCACTCTAGTCTTTAGATATGCGTCACAACTTGGTTTCACTGGAAGAATCGATGTTTATGCTTTTGTTTTTATTTTATTTTGACGAAACCCAAGATTTCGCTAGCCATTTTAATAAGTGTTTTGATGCTTAAAATCGGAAGAATGCAGCTGAATGAATCAAAAAATAAAGTTTAGATTTTAAAGTAAACGCATTTATAAATAATATAAATAAATCACTATACATAATGTGTTGTCCGGCGTATTGTATAGGCAAAATAGGTACATTTCCGCACTGTTCAGTATTGTCCATAATATTATGATAATAAAATTACATTTTAACGCAGCGTAAAGATGCTCCGCTCGCAGAGAGAAAGTGGTTGCGCACAATGCAAAATGCTTTGTACCTCACTGTAACCACTAAATCTACACTCCTTGGCTCCTGTCATATGTGCAGAATAACCCAGTGACGTCATTTCAGTTTTTGTTAGACTAGGGAAACCACTTACTGATTTTCCGACTCAACATTTTTCAACAAATTCACATATCATGGTGTCATAGTGGGTGAAGGTTTGGGGGGCAAATATTCAGGTATTTGAACGTCACACACCGGGTTTTGAATATTTAAACCAGTGTTTTCAACCGGTGTGCAGCGAGCGCCCTTGAAGTGTGCCGCGAAAATTCTATTAATAGAGTTAATTTTGTATTTTCCAGTATTATTATCGATATTCGATGAAAACTTATAACAAACAAATATAAAGACAGGCTAATCATTAATCGAATACTTATAAATGTATAATAGTATTTAATATTAGTTTGCCCGTCGCAGCCGTACCGATAACTATACGTCGCGTCGCGAAATATTGTGTTTTTACTTTTTGATGACTTTTGTCCTACATGGTATATTTTAAATAATACTTATTTTTTTTTTTATACTAAAATGTAGACGCCAGTCTCATATCGTTAATTAGCGAATCTATGATGTTACTGAAAGACAAATTGACGAAATACTTTCCCAGCATAAATGTTGAAGACTATGACTGGGTGCGGAATCCATTCAGTGTATCAGTTAATGAGGTAATTGGTTTGACATTGGCGGAAGAAGACAATCTTATCTCACTGAAAAATGATCGAACAATAAAGCTAAAATTTAAAGAAATGACGGTTAACAAATTTTGGATATATGCTCAAGCTGAATTTCTTGAAATATCTATAAAAGCAATAACAATTTTACTACCATTCTCCACATCATATCTATACGAACAAGGATTCTCAGCAGTCACTACAATAAAAAGTAAAAAAAGAGAACGACTTCGATCCGTAGAAGAAGAACTGAGAGTGAGCTTGTCGACAGTTCGTCCTAGAATAAAACGTTTCTGCACCACACGTCAAGCACAAATATCTCATTAATCGGTATATTTTTATTTCATTGTACATTATTATCATATAAAATAAATATTTCTGCTAACACATTTTGTCATCATTGTTTTAATTTATTTCACAATAATTAACCCTCTAATAGAGTAGATTATAAATAGTGTACCTATATATGTATAAATATTATATATCTAAATATATACTAGGTATTATATCACGTATGATATGAATTGGTGTGCCGCGAAAATTTTGTAGGAGAAGAAGTGTGCTACGTCGTTAAAAAGGTTGAAAACCACTGATTTAAACACAAAAAATACCTCTATGGTAAAAAATAACTAATAATGGAAATGAAACATAATTATTTACATTATATAATGTAATATATATATTATATTTATATTATGTTATATTTAGGAAAGAGGTCTTATCTGACATTCTGGTGTGGGTGACGTTTTCCATTTCCCAAAAACATTGTGTGTTTAAAATATAATAATATACTTTATAGGTTTTCAGTACCTACGGATAATATTTTTAAATTGCAACAAAATAACAAATCGTATCTAATTTTTTCCTAAATTGAAATTAAAATGTCTATAAAAAAACTGTTTATATACCTATATTTTAGATATTTTGTTTACAGTAGAAACTAGAAACTTATGAGAAGTTTTGTTTTAAATTGTCAATGTCGGAAGTGTTAATGAGAGGGGATAAAAGGGTTTTATCTTATGTTATACAATAAGGATAAGCAATAGAAAAATAATAATTATGTCTGAAAGAAGAAAGGTATAATATCTTTATCATAACTTCAAGACGTAGTCCTATAATAATATCATATTATGTTTATTATTTATTTCATTGGTAATTAGTCATTACTCATTAGACATTAGGTACTTATTAACTATATATTGTCGAGGTTGTTATTATAACTACTGCGGTGCCTCATTATCGATGTCCACGAGGTCACACCCACCAACCAATTTTGGACGCTGGAGAGGTTTACGACGACGACACCTTTCATCACATACATATAAATATAAAATATTGTATTTATTACAATCGACAAAAAAAGGCTGTAAGAATGTTTTTTACTTATTTTGATTCCGTCCAACACTCACAAAATAGATGACAATGTGGATGAATTATCATAATAGAAACTCATCCACAACGGTATAATAGATATTATGTTGTATTACATAATAGTATATCATACCGCATCTTTCAGTTTTTAAATACAACAAAATATTTAATAAAATATACACGAGATATAACCATTGTAGTGTTTTTTCTCTCAACTTAGGAAATATTATGTTTATTACTTATTAAAACAGATTGGTAAATAGACCATACAAAACATTTATCTTGTGTGATCAGAAGTGCTCAAGGACTACGGAACGACAATCTATACAAGCTCGTCATATCCATATGGAACATATGTGTAAGTGTAAATTAAATTCAATAATTTAGTAATACAACTGTAATTTTTTCGACGTGAAAATAATCACGTTGCACGTACGCATCTAAATGCGATAATGTTATAATCGTTTAGTTAAATGTTCTTGCTCCACCCAATTATATCGATGTATAATAAATTAAGAACGATCTCATGTAACAATCGCAAAGTTTATCAGAACCCGTGCCCCGTGCATATTATACGACATAAAACGGTGTTATACGACGTTTTGGAATTGTGGGTGAACACAATATTAGATAAATAAGAAACTGAACAGTAAAAAGATTTTCACCAGGTCTCAAAAGGTCAATGCGCATATTATATTATAATTTATAGCTAATTAATAATGTATTTAACCATTTTAACCTAACTGATAATGCGCAGTGCTTGAATTGGAAAACAATTTTAATGAAATGTGAAGAAAGAAAGATTGATGCAAAAGTGTAGGTAACTCTGTGTTTAGTGTTTACTGCAATGAAATTTAAAACTAAAGATTTAAATGTCTTGTAAGCTCGTGGTTATCTCCACCTAGACACCCCTCTCATTCAAATATTTTTCATTTAATAAACATTCGTCCTTTTTATTTATTCTAAAAATGTATAAAATTTGTCGACACGTGTTGCTTGAGTCGTGAAACGTGTTAATAACATATTTTTAACAAGATTCGTAAAGAACTACGACTGCAGGTTATTTTTATTGGTATATTTACTTGATATTTTGTTATTATTATTAATTCGATAAAATTGTAAAATAAAGTCTTAATTGTGTTTTATTTTGGTGTCGTCATAAGAAAAACTATAAGGGGTACGCAACCTTTTCGGCGTAATATTCCCGTTGTACATAAATACATAGTATAGTATAGAACGGGTTGAACGCAAATTTAATTTTCTCTGAGTAAGCGGCAACACCGTTTCAAATGTGTTTCACGCATACAATTTTATATTATATTGGTATTTGGTTTAACGAAATCGGTTTTTCTCTACGACCCTACAGCTATCGTGACCCCTATCACCCACATCACTACCAAACAATATAAGCATTGCAGTGGAGGCCAAAACGGGTCCCTAAATGTTAGCGGAATGCGGAGTGCGATGAGGTGGTACTTGATATTCCCAACGAAAATTCCCCGCTATTCTTGTCAACGTATTCATGGCATGGCTTTTCATTTGTAAAAAGAAATTTCCGGTGGTTCACCACAATCGTCATGAAAAAGAAATACTTCCATTTTATTGTGATGTTGACGACGGATAATAAACCTACGCACGAGTCGCCGTGGAAAATTAAAATAATATCAATTCATACCTGTTGAACGTGCGCACTAAATAATACGCCCCCGTGTGCGTTGTGTGGTGACGTGCGCGCGTGCCGGCGAAGCGTGGTATGTTCGATTTTTGACGTTTCTACCTTTCGTCAACCATTCGAGTACAAAAACGTAAAACACAACAATACTAAATAGCGGATCGAGTTTCGAATAAGTTAATAATAATTCGTGCTGCGACCTGCTCTTATATAATAACCATTGGTTGACATTTTATCGTTATTTCTTTGCAAAATCATTGCAGCGATTTGCATTAGTCGCAGAACGGTTTTCTCCGTTACCATAAATCATGTACCCATAATATATATACAATATACATATATACATATAAATCTGAGGGAGAGTTACACAATCCCAACGGTTTTTACTCGATGACAGAAATCACCGTGAACTATTTGCCGTATACGATTAATCCGTATCAAAGATGTAAATAACGTGGATATTTCCAAAGTCAGTTGAAATGAAAACTTTTTAATATGTACAAAATATATAATTTCAAAGGCACTTAGGCGAGTAAGCTTTCCAATTAATTTGTATTAAGCATGACATTTATAAAACAAAGAGAGATGAGTTTTATACTATTACAGTTTGTCACTCTTAATATTAGATATTTATAATAAGCGTTGTATAAGTAATAATAATATTTTATTAACAAGTAAAAACAAATACAATTTGGTAAAGTTATGGCTTAAAGTTAAGCAATTAAGTGTTTGCTAATTAATATTTGTATATAAAAAGCAGCGGGGTGGAGTAGTTCAGTGGTAGCAATTGTATCTTTGGTCCTCGGACAGGATAGTGTATTATTACAGTAGGTATTCGATTTTAATGCAATGCATTCGATAAAATACGATTCTGAGTGGATGAAAGAAAATGTATGAATCATAAATATTTATTAATAAGTAACAATTAATTGTATATTATAATATTATATCTAATGGGAATTAGGTAATGTTTAAATTTTATTCGTTTCTATGGTGATAAACAAAGATTTAGGTTAAAAAAATAAAAGTTGGTGGTTTTTCCGTTGACGTTAAAAATCTATTGAGAAATTTGAAAAATGATCTGTTTAAAGTACCATCTTGATCCAATTTGCTAAAAGATAGGATACTAGTATACTATATGTTGAAATCGAGGCTCTTCTGGTAGAAATTTCGTTTACAGAATACAGGATAAAAAAAATATCATTGTAAATCCATTAGCTTCCTCCCTTCGCTCAGAATCTAAAATTAAAAGTATCATTGAATTATATTATACCAGATAAGGTATGTACGTATCACTTTCAAATTAGTTTATTATTATAAAACCGTTTAGTTGAGTTAAAAAAAATATTGTCTCATGTATCTATAAACAAACTAAAAAACCAACGAAAATAAAAAAAATAAAAAAAATTCAGTTTTTTTTGAGAATTTTTAATAAGTCAGTGAAAACATGAACATTTATAACTCTGATTTATCTCCATTCAGTTTTTGATTTTGTTTTACGGTTTCTCGTATTGAAATTTATATTAACTAATATGGTTTTTCTTTTGTTCGTAAACATCAGTTTTTCCTGTTACGTTATAATACATATAAATAATATATAATAAAGGTATTATTACATATGTTTATAAATGTAACATTTTAACATAATTATAAACGCAGACAGATAACGTTGCGTTGTTTAAACGTAGGCATGACGTGGGAATGACGATTAAACATGAAAGTTCAAAAGCTATCTCTATATACTGCCGCCTCCCAAGTATACAAGTATACATTATAGATTATCTATACAAGTACGTTGACCTATTGATACTTTTGGACGGTTTGCTCCTTATTTATATACACATATATAGGTAGATATACATATATAGGTAGATCTATACGAGATACGAACCGAATACAATAATATTATTTTTTTATCTGGTGGCCATCTCGTATATATGTAAATCGCGTTTATGTTGATTTCGTCTCGTACGTTTTTCATGTTTACGGACAAAGGATAAATCCGAAGTCCGTCAGCCGATGAATAAAATGTTTCCTACAGTCTGACATTTTTAGGACTGCTGATATATGTATTACATATGTCATCTGCAGTATAGATATTGCTAGTCGTTGTTACACAACACATACACGCTTCTCGAAAAGGTCATGACCACCGTCGATTTCTTTAATATCACTCAGTGGTTGGATTGGCCCAAAACAAAGAAGGGATGTAAGAACTTAAATGTTTTAAATATTCTATATTATGTTCCATCCTCTTAGATATTATCTATAGGTACCTATATAA